TTTAAAAATTTATTATTTTTTTTTTTAATGTGTATACCGTCAAATCAGATCTGACTGGTACAGGAGGAGATTGTCCCTCCTTCTTCAGCAGAGCAACTGGTGCTGGTGGATTTGAACCTCACATCTCTGGGATTGCAGTGCTGCTTCTTGCCACTAGGCCACCAGAGCTCGCCTAAAAAAATTAATTTAAAAAATGAAAGATTGAGAATGGGAAATAAAAAAAATTTAAGAAAAAAATTAGAACATATCAAAGGTGAGATACTCAACAGTAACAAATTGCACAGACTGGGATTGACCATTGTTCAGACAAGAAACAGATACCACATCCAATGAAATAACTTAGAGGAGGGTGGAAAGGGAGGAGACATGGAAGGAGAGAGAACATTTTCTCTGTAAAAGATCCCCTGACACAGAGTATGACAATGAACAGAGAAATATAGTCCACAGCCAAACCACAGCAAGGTAAGAAATGCACTAGATAGAAGAATTTCCCTGTACTCTGTTCTCTTAAAATTAGTCTAAAAAAAAAAAATTCTGAACTCTTAAAAAATAAAAAGAAGATAATGAAGGAGTCCACAGAGTCACCATACCAAAAAGAATTGGCTGCCACAGAAGAATTTCATGGAACAACATATAATCAAGTGGTCCAGGCCATATTCATGACTATTAGGCTGAGTCCATGGTTGTGGCTGTTTTGTTGTTGTTGTTGTTAGGTGCCGTCGAGTTGATTCTGACTCTAGGACCAGGCACTGGTTATGGGTCACCATGAGTTGGGGCTGACTGGATGACAACCTACAACAGAGTGTTGGTTAATAGTTGATCTGGGTGGATGGCATATCTGCCAACATAGATTTGAGTTTGCTTTGTCTTCTGTATTTCCTCCAATAAATACAAATTGGCTTCTGCAGTGGGGAGGGTGGAATCATGCGTGGTTTTGTTTTGACTTTGACTTTGCACAGAGTGGAGAGCTCCAGGAAGAGAGCCCTGAGTCTTTTCGATATGTCTCAGGATCTCTTCTTTCAGAGCTGTTGCTCCTCTGAATGGGATCTGATAATGGACCGCAGGACAGCGGCCTGGGTCCAGTGCAGCCCCATTTAGACCTGAGTTGATAAGAAGATGAGCGACTGCAAAGACTAACTGAGGTTACCATAGGATGCCATAGAGATGGGTGTCTGGAATTACTATGACTTGTGTTTCTTCCCAGCGCATGGCGGCTGTGGGCTTTGTTCACCGTCTCGTCCACTCACCAATAGCTCTGACCTCTGGCCTAGAAGCAAATCTGGTCTCATTAATTTTGTGAAAGACAAGGTGTTTAGGTTTTCTACGAAAATAATAAAAGATTTCTTCCTGTATGGGTGTAGGTGTTTATGTTTAGAAAAGGCAGGGAGGAGACTTATCTTGAAATCAAAAAAGCAAAGTTTTTTTTGCAACAAAAATGCAGTTGCACCATAATAATTTTAAAAAAATTTTCCTGTTTGCTTGCTTTATACAATCTTTCCTTTATGTTGTGTTTGATACTTTTATATACACTGTCATTCTTATACTGTATTTACATATAGTGATGCATCTATATAAGCTATATTCACACGCACTGTCATTCATACACACTGTATTTCATACAAACAACTGATCTATGGCTATTACCACTCCATCTCCTCAAGTCCCCATTGACTCTTTCCCACTCCTTCAAACCCCCCAATCTGCCCTCTAAATTCTGCTGTCCCAGTGATCCCACCCTTCTTTTCTTTCAGTCTCCCCCCTTTTTTGGACATTCACATACATCTAACTAGCTATCCTTCCACATTTTCAATGACGATTCTGTGCAGGATTTGTCTTTATGAGACTGAGTTAGTTCACTCAACACAATGCTCTCTAGACTCTCCCGTATTTTACAAAATCATTGTTCCCTTAGCGCTGTGTAACCATGATACTTCTGACACGGTGGCTTCACTCTCCATAATATGCTTGGACTTCTTGCCCAACTATTTCCTACAAAGCCCTAGTTTTCAAACAGTTTTGAAAATTTTAGGAAGTGGTTTTTGATCATCACAGTGATGGAGGACTTTACAGGCATTTTGGAGTCTCTGGGTAACACACTCATCCACTAGTTGGAAAGTTGGTAGTTTAAATTCATCGAGAGGCTGCTGAGAAGACAGATCTGGTGAGCTGCTAGGGTTGCCAGGAGTTGCACTGCTAACCTGAAGGTACACGGTTCAAATCCACCAGCTGCCCCACGGGAGAAAGATGGGCAGTCAACTCCCATGTGATTTACTGCCTCTGAAAACCCACTGGAGAGTCAGCTCTGAGGCAGTTCTGAGGCAGTGGTACACAGCAACAACAACCACTACAGCAGCTAATATTAAAACAAATAATGTTTATTGTTTCTCTGATGGGGAGTTCTGTGTAGATGGCAGTGGAAACAGATTGCTGTTCTGATCTTCCCCTAAAAATATAGCAAGGAAACAGTACTTGACTTTGAGAGGCTCTGAAGTGGGGAGCAGAGCAAGGCTGTGGGGAACTGAAGTCTAGAACAATGAGTGAATCAACACTCATTCACACGCAGTAGGAAATATCACTTCTCCCACCATCCCTGCTGCTTCCACAGTTACACGGGCCTCCATCTGCTATAGCCCGGGGAGGAAACCCCAGGCAAAGAGCCTGTCTCCCTACCCATCACACTCCTATCCTGTACAGAGACAGAACCCCACGCTTCTGCTTTAAAATCAGCAAGACAGAGTTTCCCGACTGTCCGTTTGGAGCGTGCCAGTAGCGTCCCCACCTGGACACTGTGGGCTGCAAGGCTGCTGTGAGTGGCTGCAGAAGGCCTGTGGTGTTAGTGGAGTCTGTGCCCAGCCCGCCTCCCTGTGCACCGCGTAGCGCAGGCTTATGAAACCAACAGAATGTGCCTCCTAAGGATTCTGTTTAGGTGGCTCAGTGGTAAGGAGTTGGACTGCCAACCCGAAGGTGGTTGTTGTTAAGTGCCGTCGAGTCGTAGGTGACTCATATTGACTCTATGAACGAAAAGTCCTCGACAGTTGTGTGACTTTCATCCTCTCTCCAGGTTCATAGGGTTTCCCGAGGCAAGCTATTTACTGAAGTGGATGCCACTCCTGCTTCCAAGCTTGTTTCAACCAGGGAGCGCCACCAAACACTGTCCACCATGGGTATCCATAATCGCATTTGACACATCAGTGTCACAGTGTTCAGCTTCACAGCGACCACAAGTTGTGCCTGTATGGCAAGTGGACACACCAGGGCTATATGACCTAGAAGAATGTTTGATCAAAAACAATTAAAGACAGGTCTTAGGGCTGTGGATTAGAGTCACCCACCTTTGGCTTGGTAGCATCGCTTTCGGTCCACTAGGCCAACTGGTCTCTATGTTGTTAAGTGCCATCGAGTCGTAGACGGTTCAAACCTACCAGCTGCTCCAAGGGAGAAAGATGGACAGTCAACTCGCATGTGATTCACTGGCTCTGAAAACCCTCCTGGAGGGTTCAGCTATGAGTTGATTCCAACTTGATGATACACAGAAACAACAACATCCTTTCCTCTTCAGCCATTCCTGAAGACTGCTGGCCAAGGCTGCTAGGTAGCCAGCATCTTCATGGGCAGATATCCCACAGGCAGATTCCACTGAGGGGCCTTGATAACCACAAAATAGACTTCCTTGGGGAATCCATATGGAGTGTACCAGCATCTCCCTGACCCGGACACTGTCTGCTATAAATCTCCTGAGTGAATTTCTACAGAAGGTCCCCCACAGGGGAGTCTGCTCCATAACATCCTCCCACCCTTTCTGCCTATCACATAACTCAGGCTTCTGAAAGCAACAGAACAGACCACCCCACTCGGGTCCGTTTGCTTCCCCTTCTCTTGGGACTGAGGACTGCTGACTGAGGCAGCTGTGTGCAAAGAAGCCACCTCTACTGGAGGTGACGGCCACAGCCAACGTACCACAGGGAGGGCTCTGATAACAAGGTAGACATCCCTGGAGGTGCATTGGGAACGTGGCAGCCCTCCCTCCATCCAGAAATTGTCACCTGCAAGCCTTCTGCGAATTGCTACAGAGGCTCTGTCGGCTGAAACCAAGAGGGTCAGTTTCTCTGGGGATCAGTTTGGTTTGGGCTGCCTTCATTTCCGGTTACGCTGAGGATTGCTGACTGAGGCAGCTGTGTGAGGAAGCAGGAGTCTTGAGTGGAGGCTGTCCTCACAGCCAAAGATGTACTTTGGGGATTTCTGAGAGCAAGTGACAGATGTCCTTGGGGATCTGACCATAGCATGACACTGCTGGCTCCTCCTGGTCATTAATTGTTGGTTGCAGACTGCTCCAGAGGTCCCTATAATGGATTCAGCTCCCACAGTCAGGACTCTACCTCCCTCATTGTGTACTTTAGAAACCAACAGGCTAGATTTCCCTAGGGAATGCTTTGTGTCTGACTGTTCCCCTTCCAGTCAGCACCAAGGGTGGGCTGCTGCCTGAAGCAGCTGTGTACTAGGAAGCAGGCTTCTTAAGTGAAGGCAACACCCACGCCCACCATATGGGGGTGTGTAGGCTTGGATAGCAATCAGACACACACCCCTGGGGTTAGCATCTGAAAGACTATGACCTTGGAAACAGTATGGAGCAGTTCTACTATGTCCTATGAGGCTGCTAGGAGTCAAAATTGACTCCATGGTAATGCGTGTGTTCTGGGACACTGCCTTGTCCCTGGAGGTAAGAGACATCAGGGAAGTAACAGGCAGAGAAGTGGGTAAGTTGCCGTGTCCTGGTCACCCTGGTCCGGACCTAACACTCCCTTTTTCTCCTGCAGGAAGCCTGGAAACATGCAATCGAGAAGGCCAAGCACATGCCTGACCCCTGGGCTGAGTTCCACCTTGAAGACATTGCCACAGAACGTGCCACGCGTCACAGGTCAGCAGCCAGTCTGGGGGTATTATGCGGACTGGGCCCTGAGAAGTCCTTGAGGGTATGAGCCCTGCTTCAGCTCACTTCTCTATCCTGTGTCCTCCATGCAGTAGATAGCTCTCAGACTATGTACTATGGGGGCAAGGAAAAAAAATAATGAGAACACTATTAATAATAAGTCGGCGAGTGATGAGGTCATGTCATGGATGACCTTGGCTGGTTTTGGTCTCTGCAGGTACAATGCTGTCACAGAGGAGTGGCTGCAAGATGAAGTTTTCATCAAGATGGCATCACAGGTGAGGCAGGCTCTGAGACCCATGGGGCAGGACCCAGAGGGACCTCCTCAAGCAGATTTCAGTAATGCTCCCTCCCCCATATTTGACCCCACCACCCTTTTCTCTGCCTCCTCTTCCTCATCCATGCCCTTCTCCACCCTCATCTGTGCCCCCTCCCCCTCACCTATGCCTCCCCTCCACCCTCATCTGTGCCCGCTCCCTCTCACCTATGCAGCTTCAGTTTGCTTGGATCCACAGTTAACACCCTCGCTACCAGCAGTCAGGAAATAAGGGGATGCCTTGTACTGGTGAAATCTGCAGTTAGGGACCTTTCCAGATTATTGAGGAGTAGTGATGTCAGTTTGAAAACTTAAGGTGCATCTGATTCAGGTTATAGTCTTTCTGATTAGTAGTTATATGTCCAAGAGCTGGACAGTGAAGTAGGATGACAGAGGAAGAATTGATGCCTTTGAACTGTGGTATTGGCGAAGTGCACTGAACATTCCATGGATGGCCAAGAGAACGAACAGATATGTCTTAAAGAGGGTGCAGCCAGAGTGCTCTTTGGAGTCAAGAATGATGAGACTTCACCTCACATACTTTGGACATGTTGCTAGGAGGTGGTATTCCTTGGAGGAAGGACATGATGCTGGCAAGGGTGGAGGGTTGGCGAAGGAGAGGCAGACCCTCAACCAGGTGGATTGATAAGGTGTCTGCTTCAGTGAGCTCTTGAAAGTGTGAGGATGGTGCAGGATAGAACAGGGTTCCTATCTTTTCTTCATAGGGTCGCTATGAGTTGTGCTTGACTCGACAGCACCTAACAAAAACAACCCACACACAGAAAAGTACATGTGTCATAAGTATAAGCTCGATATAGTTTTACAGATTAAATATAAATTCATGTAACCAGCATCCACATCAAGAAACCACGTTACTAGCCCTTGCCCCAAAGCCCTTGTCAGGCCCAGTCACCCTCCTAAGCTCCTTACTGTCTAGCTCTCTTTGAGCACCCATGGGGAAGACTAACATGGGCAAGAACCACCAAGGACACACGTAGTTCTGGGTGGGCATGGGAACGGCTAATGCTCTTCTGTATGGTATCTTTCAGCCCTTCGGCCGTGGAGCAATGAGAGAATGCTTTAGGACGTAAGTGACTCCTCCTGGCACTAGGAACCCTACCCAGACTCCCCGTGGACTTCACAGAACTGAGGCATTTGAAATGCTTTTGGCCAAAGAACTCTGCCTTCATTAAGCCCAAGCCCGTCAATACATGTTCTCTTCAATATGTGTGGGGTTGGATGTGGGGCAAACATGGAGTATGTCCTGCTCATCTCTGGTCTTGCGAGGCTGAGGGGAATAGCCTTCACCCTCCCACTCAACTCTGTAAAAGCTGCAGTGGATGGAGGAGGAGGTCTTCACACTTCCCTGGGTGTCCTTCTCTGTCCAACCACGTGTGACAGCTGCGCCACCTCAGACAGGGTTGTGCTGAGGACTCAGACAGTGTTTCTCCCCAGGGCTGTGCCCCAGTGACCCCCAGAGTGCCTCCTGACAGCCCTTGGGACCTCTCTCCCCACAGGAAGAAGCTCTCCAACTTCCTGCACACCCAGCAGTGGAAGGCAGCTTCCAACTACGTGGCAAAGCGCTACATTGAGCCTGTGGACAGGGCCGTGTACTTTGAAGATGTGCGCCTGCAGATGGAAGCCAAGCTCTGGGGGGAGGAATACAACCGCCACAAGCCCCCCAAGCAGGTGTGTGCTCCCCCCACTTACCGCCTTTACGTAAAAGAAACAGGACGCCGTGTCTGGGTCGGGCATGGGCATCTGCTGCAGGTTCCTGTCTCCCCTTCTTAACAGATGCTAGTGACCACCATTTCTTGAGCACTGAGCATCTCTGAGTGGTGCAGTTAACACACTAGCTACTAATCAAAGGTTAGAGGTTCAAGTCCACGCACAGGTTCCTCAGAAAAAAGGCCTGGTGATCTACTGCTTAAAAAGTCAGCCTCTGGTGAGCTCTGGTGGCCTAGTGGCAAGAAGCTGCAATCCCAGAGGTGTGTGGTTCAAATCCCCCAGATGCTCTGCTGGAGAAGGAGGGGCAGTCTCCTCCTGTACCAGTCAGATCCAATTTGATGGTACACACACACACCAAAAAAAAAAAGTTTAAAAAAGTCAGCCTCTGGAACCCAGCTCTCTGACACACATGAGTCAGCTGGAGTCAGAACTGACTTGATGGCAGGTAGGGTTTCTGGGGAGCACTATGAGCCAAGCGTGTATCTGCAGAGATTCACTTATTCCTTCAAACAGAGCTCTGAAGCTGGGTTGTGTTCATACCCCATTTACAGACGGATCAATTGGTCAGGATTCTTTTGTCTTCAAATGGGGGAAGCCTACCCAGGCTGGCTTAATTTCTTACTACACTAGAAAAATAACCCCAACTAGATGTAGGGCCAAGTAGGCTGTCAGGATCTTCCTCCAGGCCTAGCCTTGCTTTTCTCCTGGGCCGCCAGCATTGGAGGCAGCCTGTGCCCTAAGAGAGGAGGGTCAGCCACCAGAATCTCCAGGCTTGGGCTCTGCCCTCCAAGCAGCTTTTGTGGAATGACAGGTTCCAATAAAAATCTCAACTCTGGGTTTCATTGGTTGTCATTTTCTTAGATGACTTTCAGTGAGCCAATCACTATGACTTGGGGAGGGAATATGCAGATTAGACAAGCTTGGGCCATGTGCCACCCAATAGGTGTCTGGCCCCTTAGTAGGCCAGTGCTCAAAGAGGTGACTCGCCCGGCTAGACAGGGTAGCACGAGGGTACAAATCCAAGTTCTCTAAGCCCCTGACATGTAGCTCTTATCCAAGACCCTTGGAGAGTGACACAGGGAAGCACAGTTTGCTGTTTTCTGTGGACATTTTAAGGAGCATCATTCGGGGTCTTGGTCCTGCCCAAGTTCACAGTTCAGCCATCTCACTGTTTGAGCACCTACTGGATACAAGGCAGTGTTTCCTGGATGTCTTAGGGTAGCCACCGTTGCATTCAGCAGCAGCCTTTTCTGAGTGCCTGCTGTTTGCAGAGCCGTTGATTAAGCCCACTTGGGCAGGATACACAAACCACAGTCCCCTCCCACGCCCAGGGCTGAGGACTCCTTAGTAATTGTCTACACTCCAGCCTGCCCTCCTTTCTTTTCCTTCCTCAGCACATTCCTGCCTCACAGCCTTTGCCCTGTCTGTGCCCCCATCGATGCCAATACCCATGTCTATGCCAAAATCTCCTGTTACAGTTCAGGTCTCAGCTGGTCTGTCACCTCCTCCACCTTCCACCCACTCACTGCACATGCTGTGCTAGTTTGTTTAGTTTTATTTTCTTCAAAGTAACTAGCACGTCCTGCAGGAGTATTGCTCACTTAGTGTATTAGGTCTTCCCTGCCTTGTTCACTGCTGTAGTCAATGGTTGAAGTAATGAAGGGGGAAGAATGGGGCGCTCTGAGGTGGTCATGCAGTCCACCTGGCGGCTGTGGCCTTGCCCCTCAGGGGTGAGCCCCTAGCCAAGCAGGTTGCCCTGCCCTTTCCATGGAGGCTCGGAGCCAGCACCTGGGGCCTGAACCCTCTGAGAACTGGCTGTTCCTTCCCCTCAGGCTGTTTTTCTTGCACTGAGGCCGTATTTAAAGAGCTGCTCTGCTCTGAACCGCCCCAGCCTCTACAGCTGCCATGACTGAACTGGCATAACTGAACAGTTCTGGCATGGACCTTCTCATACTGTGGGTACACTCTGAGAGAGGTGGGGTGACTCCTGCAAAAGGCAGCAGCCAGGAAATCACAAAGATTGCCAGGTCACCCCTGCCCTGCTTTACAGGCTAGACAGTGGGATAAGAACTGCTTTCCACAGGCTTTGCAGCTGGTAACTTCTTAGGAGGTTGGAAGGTCCTTACATCCAAGGTACCACTGAGTGGATTTGAACCTTCAACCTTCCAGTCAGCTGTTCAGTGTTCAGCAGATATTGTTGTTGTTGTTATGGGCCATCGAGTCACCTGCTACTCATAGCGACTCTATGTAAAACAGCCCTAAACCCTGCTCTATCCTGTGCCAATCTCCTTGTCTCTGGCACACCTACCCTCATTACCCCAACCACTGAATCAATCCATCTCATCGAGGGTCTTCCTGTCATCCCTCCGCCCTCCCAAGCATGATGTCCCTCTCCAAGGACTGGTCCCTCCTTGCAACATGTCCAAAGTGTGTCAGACAAAGCTTCAGAATCTTGGCCTCCAGGGAGCAGCCTGGTTTAACGTTCTCTAGGATGAACCTGTTTATTTTCTTAGCAGTCCATGGTACATTCAATACTCTTCTCCAACAGCAGGTATTAAACAGTACCTATTTTTTTCCTTGTGCTCACAAAATTAAATACACGGCTTGTAAAACATTCAGCATGGAATGCCAGCCAGTCTGTCCTGACTCACACTGGCCCCGTGTGTGTGTCATGGTAGAAGCATCATCTGTTGCATTTTCTGTAGCTGGTTTCTTAGGCACGTGTCACGAGGCCTATTTTCTGAGGTGCCTCAGAGCAGCCTCAAACCTCCTCCCGCCCTGCAGTTAGCAGCTGGATATATTAACAGTTTGCACTGTCCGAAGAATGTTGGCATTCCTTATTGTTCGTTTCCCTTGTCAGAGAGGGAGCCACCGTTTACAGTTTAGTGTCTGTAATTCTGAGGCTGAGTTTCCTGGGTACGGTAACATCAGCAAATATTGTGATTCACTTCCGCACCCTTCACACACATCCATCGAGTCAGTCTTTGAACCATTGTGCAAAGTGTGGGACACCCCCCCCCAATACTCCACAGGTGAGGAAACAGCACAGAGATGTGAAATCTTTCACCCAAATAAACAGCACAGGTGAACTGAACAGACCGGCAAGCACGTGCTCACGGGACAAGGCTCCTTTCTCACATGACAGCCCGCGGTGGTGGGTGGCGGGGTGGCCTGGTTTTCCTTGGACTCGTTCCCCGGCCTGGTTCTTCTGTCCTGCTGCACTGCCACCTGTTGCCCTTCTCTGACCAGCAGGAAAGTGCAGGGAGGTGGCCTGAACTACTCCAGACTTTAGTTAGTCACTGAGTGTCCTCTCAACCTGTAGTCTTCATAGTTGTGTTTTGGGGTTTTTAAAAATTAAAATTTTTATTTTATACTGGTTTGCTTACAAAGTTCCTACACATTGTTTTCCACACCGGATCTTTCTCATTTCCTTTACCCACCTCTCCTTCCAATCATCAGATTGTGCAACCCTATGATTACCTGCCACCCGCCCATCCTCACCCCTCTGCTCCCCCTTACACCCCTTGGATCCTCATTCTCATTCTACAGTAGTGTTGTTATACAGTATTTTCCTTATGGGACTGAATTACTTCACTTAGCATAATGCTGTCCAGTCCCTCCCAAGTTAGGTAGTGATTTACAAAATCATTACTCCTGCATACTGTTTGCTATTCCATCATGTGAATGTACCATAGTTTCTCAGTCCATTCAGTTGTGGTTGGACATTTGGGCTGTTTCCATGTTTTTGAGATGTCGAATATCTTGGTATGTTAGGGAGCTCTGGTGGCCTAGTGGCAAGAAGCTGCGTTGCACTCCCAAAGGCACACGGTTCAGGGCCACCAACTGCTCCACAGAAGGATGGGCAATCTCTGTGTGATTAACTGCCTCTGAAAATCTGCTGGTGGGTCAGCTATGGGTCGGTTCCAACTCGATGGTACACAACAACAACAGCATGGTGAACATTGGCATACGAATCTTCATTTGTGCCTCAGTTCTCAGGGTATATTCCAAGCAGTGGAATAGCTGGGTCATATGGAATTTCTATGTTCAGCTTTTTGAGGAAGTGCCAGACTGCCTTCCAGAGTGGTTTATACCATTTTATAATCCCACCAACAGTGTATAAGTGTTCATATCTCTCCACATCCTCTCCAACATTTATTACTTACTGTCCTGTTAAACTTTGCCACTGCTTCTGGTGTGAGATGTTATCTCATTGTGGTTTTGATATGCATCTCTCTTATTGCCAGTTATTTGGATCATTTCTTCGTGTATTTATTGACTATTCAAGTATCATCTTCTGTGAAGTCTTTCCGTGTCTTTTGCCCATTTTGTAATTGGGTTATCAGTCTTTTTCTTGTAGAGACCCTCGAGGATTCTGTAAACTTTTGATAAGAGACCCTTGTCTAAAATGGTATTGCCAAATGTTTTTTTCCAGTCAATAGGTTTTCTTTTCACTCTGTCAGAAAAAGTTTCTGATGCACACAGGGATTTAATCTTTAGAAGGTTCCACTCATCAATATTATCCTCTCCTGTGTATTTCTGGCTGTATTTGTCAGCCTTTTTATACTTTCACCTAGGCCTTCTAAGCTTGATCATTCTTTGTCTTGTGATCTTTATGGTTTTGGGCTCCTCATAGTTTTTGTTTGAGCAGTTTTACAAGTGTAAGAGCATGTTGACTAGAAGAACAAGATAAAATGTTGCTTACTCTTTCTTATCTTTTTTCTAAATAACTTTTTTTTCTTGTGTTCTGTCGAGTTGGATCCAAAAGGCACAGGAGGAGATTGCCCCTCCTTCTCCAGCAGAGCATCTGGTGGATTCAAACTGTGTGCCTTCATGATTGTAGGACAGCTTCTTACCTCTCGGCCACCAGAGCTCCCTGTTTCTTATTTTAATTGCTGATCCTTCCTATTTGCTAAAACTCATCCACGTCCGAGGGCAGCTTAAAGTTTTACAAGTATACTTCCAAAAAACAAAATATCCTTTTACTCTGATTATATTCTTTCGAGTGTTATTACAGTCAAGATGGAACTGACCCATAGCTGGTGGGTTTTCAGATGTAGTTAAGTGCCCTGTTCTTTAGATTGCATTCTTTTAATCTAGGCAGCTCCTGCCTTGGTTAGCTTAACCCTGCATCTCTGGGAGGAGGCTGATTAAAGCTGCCCAGCCCTGCTGGCATCTCACAGCTGGTCTGGCTCACTGCCAGTGGTCTACATGATAGCTCGATCTGGGGAGGGGCAAGAGAGGAGGCAGGCATCTCAAAGGGAAGCTGAGCATTGCTTCCTCTAGCTGGATGGCCCTGCATCTTATTAAAATGTAGGCGAGGGGTTTCCTCATTCTGTGAGGAAAAGTGGAGAATGGATTCTGGGGGACAAGTTGCCGTTTTTGGCATGGAGAGCTAGTCAGTGATAAACCAGCGCCTAATCCCAGATGAGGGAGCTTAGTGGCAAGAAGCTGCACTGCAATCCTGAATGCATGCAATTTGAGGCCACCAGCTGCTCCACGGGAGAAGGATGGGCGATCTCCTCCCGTGCGATTCACAGCCTCTGTAAATAACCCGCCAGCCATGGGATGGTTCCAACTCTGCAGTAGACAACAATCCCAGGTGAGCTGGCTCATCTCCACCCCTGTGCCCCCCACGTTGGAAGAAGGTGCTGCCAGGGCGCTGACCCCTACTTGTCCTCCCACCAGGTGGACATCATGCAGATGTGCATCATTGAGCTGAAGGAGAGGCCGGACAAGCCCCTTTTCCACCTGGAACACTACATCGAGGGCAAGTACATCAAATACAACTCCAACTCCGGCTTTGTCCGTGATGACAACATTCGCCTGACGCCGCAGGTGAGGGCCCAGGGCTCACTCTGCCCACACCCTTCGGGTTGGGAGCCTTGGCCAAGCTCAGACCCCAGAGAAGAGTCCCCTGAGACACCTGGAGGTCACGCAAGTGCAGCCTTAGAGAGTCCCTCAAGCCCCTTGGCCATTTGAAAGGAGAGTCTGTAAAGAGACATCAGTCACCTGTGCTGACTTGTACCTGCACAGAGATGACCACAGGACCAGAGTTCTGTTTGCATCTTTTCTTCCCTAATACTCCTCCTTGCAGAGGAAGCCCCCAGAACATGAATGGAGCTGGCCTGTCATCACCCGCCAGCGCACGGCTAGCCAGGGTCTGCACAGCCCACAGCCTGGCCTCTTGTCACTTTTTTTTCTTTCCGGCATCCCACAGGCCTTCAGCCACTTCACGTTTGAGCGCTCGGGCCATCAGCTGATTGTGGTGGACATCCAGGGTGTGGGCGACCTCTACACTGACCCGCAGATCCACACCGAGATAGGCACTGACTTTGGAGACGGCAACCTAGGTAGGTGGGGCCGGCATGTTTCCATGGAGATGGATGGAGTTGTCATCGTCGTCCTTGTTTTTGAGTGCCGTCCAATGGACTGTAACCCGGTGACGCTATGAGCAACGGCTCTGAACCTTACCTTCTCCTGCACCATCCTCACAGTCTCAGCCATGCGCAAGCCCATCATGGTAATCGCTGCATGAGTCCAGCTCGTTGAGAGTTCTTGCTCATGGCAGTCCCACGTGGGCAGGGTTAGACCTGCTCCCCAGGGATTTCAAGGCTTCAGTCTTCCAGCCGGGCATGTCTTCTGAGGCAGCCGTAGGTGGGTTTGAACCTTTTGGCCGGAAGTTGAGTATTTGTGCCACTCGGGACTCCAAGGAAACCTTACTGCCTTCTGAAATCTGAGTTCTTTCTGTGTCCAGGGAGGTAGGCTGATATTGCAGGCTGGTCTTCCCATGGCTGTCGAGCTGGGTATCTGGGAGCCCTGGCCCTGACTGATGTGTCCCTTTTTAGGCCTGTTGTTTTGTGCCATCAATTCGCTTGCGACTCATAGCGACCCTGTGTACAACAGCTGTGAAATCTGCCCTATCCTGTGCCAACTTTACGGTCCCTGACACACCTGCCCTCATTACCCCAGTCACTATATTAATCCATCTCATCGAGGGTCTTCCTCTCTTTCTCTGTTCCCTGCACCCTCCCAAGCCTGACATCCTTCTCCAAGGATTGATCCCTCTTTGCAGCATGCCCAGAGTATGTCAGACGAAGCCTTGGAATCTTTGCCTCCAAGGAGCAGCCTGGTTTCACCCTCTCTAGGGCGAACCTATCCCTGCATATTTAGTGTGCCCAGCCCTGCCTCCACACCCTCACTAAACACAAGAGTCACACGAGGCCCTGCCTCCTCTGTCCACAGGTGTCCGTGGGATGGCGCTCTTCTTCTACTCCCATGCCTGCAACCGCATCTGCAGGAGCATGGGGCTCGAACCTTTCGACCTGTCGCCAAAGGAGAGGGACACTGTGAACCAGAACACCAAGCTGCTGGTGCGTGCCTGGCCTGAGCCTGCCCAGCCTCCTCCCCAGCCACCCTGCTGTTCTCTGATGCCCCTAGTGTTGGCTTGTTCAGCCTCCCTGTGTGAGGACAGGCCAGGTCCGCTTCATGGAGGACATCAGAGCAGGACCCTTCCTATCTCTTCCACCTTAGTTCCTCACCAAGCCCTCCAGGGTGTGTCTGCTAACAGATTAACTGGTATTTGCTTGAGGGGCGCCAGCTTTTGTGCATTGTGAGGGACACAGGTGCCTTGACATGAGAGGAGGTGCATGGCCTGTGTTTATGTGATGTGTGTTGACAGGTCCTGGGGGCATCTTGCTTTGTCCAGGATCTACACACCTCACCCCACCTAACCTAACCTGAGAAAATGCTGGAAAGCTCAGTTTGAGGTTCTGAATGTGTCGTTAGAATCCCCAGCTCAGGGCTGTAGGGTGTCTTAAACACTTTGAAGAATACTGACTAGAAGGACTTTGGGGCTCTTGAAACCTCAGGGCTCATTCCCACTGACCGTTCTGTGACCCCAAATGGCCTATATAGAGGCTGCAGCTGAAACGGCTTGAGGGACCAACCCAGAGGGTGTTCATGTGATGTGAATGTCCTTGTTAACATCCCCAGCAGTCAGCCAAGACCATCTTGAGGGGGACAGAGGAGAAATGTGGGAGCCCCCGAGTGAGGACCTTCTCCGGGAGCCGGCCCCCGCTGCTCCGTCGGCTTTCCGAGAACTCGGGAGACGAGAACATGAGCGATGTGACCTTTGACTCTCTGCCTTCCTCGCCCTCTTCGGCCACTCCACACAGCCACAAACTGGAGCACCTCCGTGAGTGATCATTTCGGTCCCTGGTCTTTGCGGAGGGGCGCGGGCTCCAGGCAGAACAGAGCTGCGCTGAAGACGTGCTCAGAAGCCCTAGTTAAGTCACCTCAGGGCCATCTCGTCAGGGTTGCTCACAGGGTTTAAGATTCTGGTGTCTGCTCATCCGAGTAGGGTGTCGAACATGGTCTGGGTGGACTGTGTTATGCCCATGGACCCTGATACCCCAAAACATTGGTCAGAGACATTCGGTTGTATGAGAGTGGTTGGTAGTCATAGCTGGGCACCATCTCGTGTTTCTGGCCTCAGGTTAGAAGACGTCATGGCTCCTGTGGGCCTCAGACCTGTGGACAGGCTTCTTCTCCGAGCCTGTCTTTCCCTCAGGCCCTCAGGTGCTTACAAAAGTCTCTTCCCATTTTTGCTCCCTCTTTAAAAAATTTAAAAATAAGGGAGCTCTGGTGGCCTAGTGGCAAGACACTGCACTGCAATCCCAGAGGTACGCAGTTCAAATCCACCAGATGCTCTGCTGGAAAAGGAGGGACAATCTCCTCCTTTACTAGTCAGATCTGATTTGATGGTACACACACACAATAATAAAAAGAATTTTTTAAAAAAAGATCCAGATTTCCTGGGAGGTTCTGAGTCAGGTGGACTGAGGAGCATTTTGGGTGATGCAAACAGTTAATATCCTGTGCTGCTGACCAAAAGGTTGGAGGTTCGAGCCCATCAAGAGGTACCTCAGAAGAAAAGCCCTGCTAGGCGGTTTCTTTTCCTCATTAGAGGTTTGATTCCTTGGCGTGCCGGAGCTGCCTGGCTTTGTCCTGAGAGAGGCTATAGACAAGGATGGCATTACCTGGGAGAGAGGATTGTGTTTTCTGTTTTCTGCACTCCTTCCCCAGCTCTCCTATCAAAGCAGTTCACGGTCTTGAGGTGTCTCTAGTGACCCTCGGGAGAGAGAGCACAGTGGATTTTCTAGAAGGCGTGAAGTCAGACCATCTCAGGCTTTGTGAAGGAGGGACCTCTCAACCAAACTCAGAGCGCTGAGTGAGGGAACAGCTTCCCTGAGCTGCTGCAACCCTCTGCTGGCTTTTCTGTCCTGTTCGTGCAACTTCTTTTCAGCATCCACAGACTGTCTGAATTTGAATGATGAGAAATGGAGCCATGTTTATCCAGTGACCTCTAAGATCACTGATCCTCTGTCCACTCTTCGGCCAACAAGCTCACATACTAGGGGCTGCCATCAGCCAGCCTTAATGAGGAGCATCCACCATCCATCCTCTTGACGTCACTGGCTGGTAAACTCCGCCATGCCCCCTTCTCTCTCCTTCAGGTTTGTGTGGAAAAGTGGAATCTGGTCAACTCCTCCCGCCGCCACCTGCCAAGGGCTTCGGCCGTGGCCTTGGAAGTGCAAAGGCTTAATGCTCTGGACCTTGAAAAGAAAATCGGGAAGTCCATTTTGGGGAAGGTATCAGCGATGCCCATTTCAGAACCCTCCTTGCACTAACACTGAGCCGCTGGGCTCTCCTCTCTGCTAACCGCTTCCTCCCACAGGCTGGCTGGGGGGGGGCATTGGGCTTGGCTTGGGCATCCCAGTCAGCTGGTCCAACCCTGCAATCTGTGCGCAGGTCCATCTGGCCATGGTGCGGTATCACGAGGGCGGGCGCTTCTGCGAGAAGGATGAGGAATGGGACCGCGAGTCAGCCATCTTCCACCTGGAACACGCGGCCGACCTGGGCGAGCTGGAGGCCATTGTGGGCCTGGGGCTCATGTACTCGCAGCTGCCACACCACATCCTGGCCAGCATCTCTCTGAAGGTGAGAAGGTGACCAGGACCCAGCCAGAGAGGCATGGTCCACCAGCTGTCCACCTGTCTCTCCACCCTGGAGTTAGTTTGAGGCCAGGCTTATCCCAGAGTCTGTTTGAATGGACAAGATTGTTTCTGTCCTTGGGTGAGGAGAAGGGGACTGTCACATATTAAACAGTGGCATGATGGGAGAATCAGAGAGTACAGATGGAAACAAGCAAGGACCACTCATCACTGGGTCAGCACAGGCGTCCTGTGGACTGCCACCTCTGTCTTATCCCAGCAACAGGGACAGATGCTTAATAGACACTTGCTGAATGAGTAGGTAGATGGTCCTCTACGTTAGCCCTAAAGGCTGAAGGGGAGAATAGTTCACATAAAGGGTGTGTGCCCAGACCCACAGATGAGAGACAAGATGCCCAGATTCAAGGGCAGGAGGTAGACCAGAAGATGAATGTGTGGAGCAGGCGGGGACGTGCAGAGTCAGGCTTGGGTCTGAAGCAGCAGGATGTGACAGCAATGGGAAATTCCATGTGGGGTCCGCACCTTCGCCCACCCTGGTTTGTGTGTACAGGGGAAAGAATTGCCGCTGTCCTGGTGAGGAACAGGATCTAACAAGGCCTTTCCTAGGGAGAGTTTGGAGAACCTGTGAGAGTGTGTGACCTTAGTGAATCTCTCACCACCCTCCCTGTCAGTTGGCAAAGGTTGTGGATGGATGGGGTGACCGGGCCAGGCTACGCTTACCAGGAGCATGGGGCACTAACCCTCTCAGTGGGCCTGGCCATAGCTCAGCAGACAGGTCATCCCATACCAGAAGAGGGTGAGAGACACTCCAGAGCCCTTTTGTTTATTTAACTTTTTAAGTAGGTAAGACATTCATAGGAAGTTTTTAGTTTTATTTCGTAGGTTTTCATACATGTTTTCTATTATTAATTACTATTGATCAGTGACATTTATCACCACACCTCCCCACATCCTCACTGCACTTTACTCATTCCTTCACTGCCCAATCCATCCACTAGTCTCTGCTAGCCTCATGATGGTTTTCCCCCCATAAGATGTTTTTTAAAGGTTTTTCCTAATAAGGAAAAAATTTACAGTAATGTTTCCCTCCCACCGTGTTTCTCATTCCATTCTCCCAACAGTTCTATATAGAGAAATACGTAGTGTAGATTTCCACAGTGGCTACAACACTGGTCAGACACAGCCGCGACTGTCTGATGGCACAGGGCTGGGCAGTGTCTGGCTCTGTTGTAAATAGAGACCTTGTGAGGCAGAGCTGATCTGACAGCTCCTCACAACAGCGCAGAGGATGAAGATTGATTAGCGGCAATCCAGGCAGCGCCTTCTAGCTCAACCCTCATGTGCTTTCTCTCTCCGCCCTTTGGTTTGTGTTGACAGGAGACGGAAGAGAATAAAACGAAGGGATTTGATTACTTGCTGAAGGCAGCAGAAGCTGGTGACAGACAATCTATGATCCTGGTGGCGCGGGCTTTTGACTCGGGTTGGAACCTCGGTCCAGACAGGTACAGCAGCACTGCGGTCCAGGTGGGCATCTGGGCTGCAGGTGGGAACCTCACTGGTCTAAGTCACCCCTCATCAGCCCAGCAAATGCGGGCAAGTTCTTTTCTCTTCTTGGCCTCGGTTTCTTCATTTGTAAAATGAGAATACTTCTAGGACATGCATCCTAAGGTTCTTGTGTGAGGGTAAAGTGAGATGGTGTTTGCATAGGACTGGGCTCAACACAATGGCTGTCATTGTCACTGTTACATAGAAATATCTACCTGGGAGAAGGGTGCAACAATGAATGAATGAAATTCCAAAATCTCTGTAGATGTTCATGGAAATGAAAAAGAAATAAATAAATTTATAAAAAAAAAGAAATATCTACCTGAGGAAATGTCCCTACATATTAAGATAGTTGTGTTGTTGTATTAGGTGCCATCAAGTCAAGTACGACTCATAGCAACCCTCTGAACAGATCTGAGCCCTGTCCCATCCTGTGCCATTGTCACCATCTCTGACATATTTCAGCCCCTTGCTGCAGTTACTGTGTCTGTCCATCTCATTGAGGAGCTTCCTCTCTTTCATTGACCCTCCACCCCACCAAGCATGAAGTCCCTTTCCAAGGAGTTGTTGTTATGTGCTGTCGATTTGCCTGCGACTCATAGTGACCCTGTGTACAACAGCCCTATATCCTGCTCTGTCCTGTTCCAGTCTCACTGCCTCCGACATACCTACCCCCTTTGCTCCAGTCACTGAATCAATCCACTGCATGGAAGGGTCTTCCTCTGCTGCGCTGTCCCTCCACCCTTCCTTCTCCAAGGACTGGCCCCTCCTTGCAACATGTCCAAAGTATGTCAGACGAAGCATCAGAATCCTTGCTGCCAAGGAGCAGCCTGGCTTCACCCTCTGTAGGACAAACCTGTTTGTTTTCTTAGCAGTCCATGGTAC